TGAACCCCAGGTTGAGAAACGCTGCTACACAATTATAACACTATTATTCCATTTTAACCACTAAGATTCCAATTTATGGAATCCTGGGATTTGTAGTTTCATGAGGCACTGGCTGAGAGTTCTAAATGCCCCTCCCTAAACTGCAAATGCCACGATTCAACAGGATTAAACCATGGAGTTTAAAAAGTTAGGATAGTATAAATGGGCCTTAAGCTTACCAACAAACTTGGGATAACGAGGACTCATGAGTCTACTTAATATTTCTAGAGCAGCTTGCGGTTCCTTCATGAGAAGAATGTCCCCCACCACACCTCCAGTTGTACAAGGTCACACTTGGCCTGTTTATAGTCCACGGAAAAACAGCTAACTGAAAGCCACAAGATGCAAAACCACACACATTAACTTGGAACAGATGCCTCAGAGGGAGGGCATGAGGGAAACTCAGTTGCACCACATCACAGAAGTAGGAATCATGTGGGATTAAGACATCAGCATTTCACACTAATTCACAAGGCTCACCCCCATTCTAGAGCTTACAAGGGCGGCTATAAAAAGCACATATCACTTAAAATAGGCTGTACTATGTGGGATTCCCCAATTTTACGTTTGAAAAGGAGGGGGGGAATTATTTTAATTTCGAAGAGTAAGCATGGAATAGGGGGAATGGTTCTGCATCCCTGTGCATTCACAGCCTTACAAACAAGAACAGCAATCTATTGCTTTTTGGAGACAAGGTGGCTTTCTGCCAGGGACCTCCTTTGATTCAGACAGACATTCAAATTCACTCTGGTCTCCATATCTCCTTGCCTGCATCTGCACTGTAGAATGGATGCAGCTTGATACCACTTTAACTGTCATGGCCCTATGCTACATAATCACTGGATCTGTGATTTTATGAAGTCTTCCCCATTCAGATATTGCTGGTCCCTCACAAAATGACATCTTAGAATCCCATTTCACTGAGCCACAGGAGTTAAAAAGTAGTGTCAAAGTGCATTATTTCTACAGTGTAGAAGCTCCCCTTATCTAGCCTATTCCACAGGACTGTGGTGCAGACAAAACCATGAAAAAGCCGATAACAACTGATCCCAGCAGTTATATAACTGCCAAGCTATTCAGCATTTGTACAAACAAGTAAACAAACAACTCCAACCAAAGAACACTTGCACTAATCTAATTGTGCCAACTCAAGGAAAGTTGGGAGGGGAGATAAACATATATATTTCACGATATTGTGCTCTCTCCCCAACATCTGCTCCAGATCCCAATCACATAACACTTTGGAAAAACGTCAAATGTGTCAGAAATATTAAAAATTAAATTGATATTTTTATTTCAAATGTGTGAGTCAAGCACTCAAAGAGTTAGGAGGCCAAAGCCTGTTAGAGTTAAAGCTAGTGTCGTCCTGAGGAGTATGAGGTAAACCTCGGTGTGAGAGAAGCCTCATGTGAGAAAGCTCCAGCATGAAAGCGACTGTGTGTAAAGCTACTGTGTATTTAGGTTTTTTGTGTGTGTTATGGAAACCTAGTTCTTGTAAATAGTGTAACCATATTATTTTACTACAAAGAAAGGCCTCCTATGGATGAGATAACATTGGTCTGTGTGTTTTTGTTCATTTGATCACTTTAGCTGGGTCATGCTGCTGCTGGTAAGTTACTCTGCTATATATTCATGAGGAGGGTCTTTTATTATTAAGCCCACTTGCTGAACAAGATACTCTTATAGAGATCAGATAAGTGTGCTGGAGAGAAAATAATGTGTTTTAAGAGATATTTGTGTGTGTGTGTGTGTGTTTACACTGTCTAGGCTCCTTCACCCTGCAGTATGGGGATATCTGCACTGTAGAAGAAATGCAATTTGACCCCGCTCTCACTTCCATGACCCTATGCTATAGAATTATGGAAGTGGTAGCTTCACAAGACCTTGAACCTTCTCTGCCAAAGTGTATGGGTGCCTCACCAAACTACAAATCCCAGAATTCCACAGCATTGAGCCCCGGCAGCTTGTGTCAAAATATATTAATTCCAGGTGGGTGCTGACAACTGACAAAACAACATGTGTATTTCCCTCTTCTTGATCCCAACTGGTTAGGATCCTTAAACCCATCCGTTCTGCTGGGGAGGGGGGGGAGAGCAAAGAGTCATCTACACAATATAATCATAGAGGTGGAAGAGACCTCTTCGGCCATCCAGTCCAATCTAATTCATGAGAATGCATTTTGACACCACTTTAACTGCCACGGCTCTATGCTAAAGAATCCTGGGAGTTGTAGTCTAGTGAGCCACCACTCCCACCTTTGGCTGAAAAGGCTGAAGACCTTGAGAAACTACAGCTCCTTGGATTTTATAGCATCAAGCCATGACAGTTCAAGTGGTATCCAAGTGCAATTAATTCTGCCATGTAAATGCAACCTAAAACCTGACTAAACTTGGACTCCAAAGAGTTACTTCCTTAGAGCCTTAGGGTGCATCAATACTGTAGATTGAATGCAGTTTGATCCACTTACAGTGCCAGGACTCAATGCAATGGAATCAAAGATGTTGTAGATTGGTGATGCTCCCGAATGAAGACTAAAGACCTTGTAAACCTGCAAACTCCCAGAATTTCCTAGGATTGAGCCATGGCAGTTCAAGTGGCCTTGTGCCTCTGAGGTTGGGGAAAGCTTAAAGCTGGGTTGTTGTGTTTTCCGGGCTGTATGGTCATGTTCCAGAAGCATTCTCTCCTGATGTTTTGCTACATTTATGACGGCCATCCTCAGAGGTTGTGAGGTCTGTTGGAAACGTCAAAATGGGGTTTAGATATCTGTGGAACAGGCCCGTAGCTAAGATTTTGATGGGGGGGGGGCTAAGTTTGATTTGGGGGGGACTGAGGATCTACCCTAGCAAATCTTTTGTATCATTATCCCAATACCCCCATGCATATGGGATATATTGAGCATGGTGATCAGATCATGATATGAATAAACATAACAGTTTAAATAATGTACCAGTAAGGCCTTCTTGCGGACCACCCTGAGAATTTGGGGGGGGGGCTGAAGCCCCTCAAGCTCTCCCCCCCCCCCCCACGGCTGCTGTGGAATGTCCAGGGTGGGAGAAACAACTCTTGTCTGCTTGAGGTAGGTGTGAATGTTTCAATTGGTCACCTTGATTAACATTCAATTGCCTAGAAGCCATTGAAATCTACAAGCATGTGGACAATTGCAACATAAAGGAAGAAACCATGAAAATGAACAAAACCTGGCTACCAGTATTTAAAAACTCTAAATCATAACAGTAAATAAAGAAAAACATTCAAAAACGGGAACTCCAGACAAGAAACAGTCAGGGCCAACTAATTACCTCCCAACAAAGGATTCCCCCAGGCAGTAAGAAGCCAGACCTTGAAAACTGCTAGGCCATTCAATGGTAATCAAGGTGGCCAATTGCTACATTCACACCTACCTCGAGCAGACAGGAGTTCTTTCTCCCACCCTGGCCATTCCACAGGTATATAACCCCCATTTTCCTAGTTTCCAACAGACCTCACAACCTCTGAGTATGCTTGCCATAGATGCAGGCGAAACATCAGGAGAGAATTCAAAACGATCTTAACAGATTAAAGAGATGGGCCAAAACTAACAAAATTAACTTCAACAGAGACAAATGCAAGATACTCCACTTAGGCAGAAAAAAATGAAATGCAAAGATACAGAATAGGAAACACGTGGCTCGAGAGCAGTACGTGTGAAAAAGATCTTGGAGTCCTCGTGGACAACAAGTTAAACATGAGCCAACAATGTGATGTGGCGGCAAAAAAGCCAATGGGATTTTGGCCTGCATCAATAGGAGCATAGTGTGTATATCCAGGGAAGTCATACTACCCCTCTATTCTGCCTTGGTTAGAACACATCTGGAGTATTGTGTCCAATTCTGGGCACCACAATTGAATCATAGAATCAAAGAGTTGGAAGAGACCTCATGGGCCATCCAGTCCAACCCCCTGCCAAGAAGTAGGAATATTGCATTCAAATCACCCCTGACAGATGGCCATCCAGCCTCTGTTTAAAAGCTTCCAAAGAAGGAGCCTCCACCACACTCCGGGGCAGAGAGTTCCACTGCTGAACGGCTCTCACAGTCAGGAAGTTCTTCCTCATGTTCAGATGGAATCTCCTCTCTTGTAGTTTGAAGCCATTGGTCCGCGTCCTAGTCTCCAGGGAAGCAGAAAACAAGCTTGCTCCCTCCTCCCTGTGGCTTCCTCTCACATATTTATACATGGCTATAATTGAAGGGAGATATTGACAAGCTGGAATGTGTCCAGAGGAGGGTGACTAAAATGATCAAGGGTCTGAAGAACAAGCCCTATGAGGAGCAGCTTAAAGAGCTGGGTATGTTTAGCCTGAAGAAGAGAAGGCTGAGAGGAGACATGATAGCCATGTATAAATATGTGAGAGGAAGTCATAGGGAGGAGGGAGCAAACTTGTTTTCTGTTACCCTGGAGACTAGGACGAGGAACAATGGCTTCAAACTACAAGAAAGAAGATTCCATCTGAACATTAGGAAGAACTTCCTGACTATGAGAGCTGTTCAGCAGTGGAACTCCCTGCCCAGGAGTGTGGTAGACGCTCCTTCTTTGGAAACTTTTAAACATAGGCTGGATGGCCATCTGTCGGGGGTGCTTTGAATGCAATTTTCCTGCTTCTTGGCAGGGGGTTGGACTGGATGGCCCATGAGGTCTCTTCCAACTCTTTGATTCTATGAATGCTTCTGAAACACAACAACCTAGTGGTTCTGGCCATGAAAGCCTTCGACAATGCAAGGCTAAAGCCCATTTCAACATCAGGCAGGCAATGCAGAAACCTTGGATCTGAAGTCAAAACTATCCCGAGTCTACAGGACAAACTGCAGCCTTCCAGATGTTGCTGTGTCACAACTCCCATCGGTTCCAGCCATGATGCCTAATGATGTGGAAGACAAGGGCAATGGGACTTAAAATTGGGAGGGGGGGGGAGTGTTGTCACTCACGTATCTCCTTCTTCTGAGACGAAGGTGAAGGTCTCCAGCAGCTGCTGCCTGAGGCGTTCTTCTCCTTGGCGCCCATCCACCTCTTCTCCTTCCTCCTCTTCCTCCTCCTCCTCTTTCTCGGGGGTCTCTTTCAGCGCCGCCAAGGCCTCGACTAAGGAGGCAGAGCCGTAGCTGGAGTCCAGCCTCTCGTCGGCTTCGGCGGGCGCCTCCTTGCCCGGAGGGGCCTCTCGGGGAGCCGGGGAAGGGGGCTCTCCCTCGCCCTCGCCCAGCGGGCCCTGCAAGGAGCGCAGCGAGCCCAGGCCCGAGTCGAACTGCCCGTCCTCCAGAGAGGAGCAGCAGCCCGCCGCCCTCGACGACGACGACGACGCCATGGCAGCCGGGAAGGAAGGCGCTCAGCGGAGGAAAGGCCCGGGGAAGAAAGCAGGAAGGCGCCGCATGCCGAGGACGAGAGCGCCTTCGCGGAGGGAAACACCGAAGGTGCAGGTCTGCCGAGCCAGGGCCAGCAGGCTCCGCCCAGGCAGCACCGAGCCCCGCCTCCCTCCCAGGGAAGGCCCGCCCGCGCCCTCTTGCGGCCAGAAGTGGGAGGGAACGCTGGAACCACCAGGAGTCTCTTTCTCATGTATTGTCGAAGGCTTTCATGGCTGGAATCACTAGGTTCTTGTGGGTTTTTTCGGGCTATAGGGCCATTTTCTAGAGGCATTTCTCCTGACGTTTCGCCTGCATCTATGGCAAGCATCCTCAGAGGTAGTGAGGTCTGTTGGAATTAGGACAATGGGTTTATATATCTGTGGAATGGCTGGGGTGGGGCAGAGAGCGCTTCTCTGCTGGAGCTAGGTGTGAATGTTTCAACTGACCACCTTCATTAGCATTTGAAGGCCTGGCTGAGCCTGGGAAAATCTTTTGTTGAGAGGTGTTAAGATGTGCCTGGTTGTTTCCTCTCTGCTGTTTTGCTGTTGTGATTTTAGAGTTTTTTTATACTGGTAGCCAGATTTTGTTCATTTTCATGGTTTCTTCCTTTCTGTTGAAATTGTCCACATGCTTGTGGATTTCAATGGCTTCTCTGTGTAGCTGACATGGTGGTTGTGAGAGTGGTCCAGCATTTCTGTGTTCTCAAATAATATGCTGTGTCCAGGCTGATGAAGATCCACCCAGAGGAAAAGTGTTCCTGCTATACATCAAGGGAACTACTTCAACCAGAGAAGTCAGCCATAGCAGAGCACCTGATGAACCAGCCTGGACACAGCATATTATTTGAGAACAAGAGGAAGGCACGTCAAGCCAACCCCGACCAAGACTACCTTCCACCTGGAAACTAATGCGGGAGAAGATGCAGATCAAGAATAGGGCTCCACAGTCACCTACAGACCCACCAGAACACTGATCCTGGAAGACTATCCTACTCAGCCAATGAGGGATCGCCCAAGTAAGTAAGTAAGTAAGAAAATAACATTACCAGCAGGTTCAACCAAGCCAGAGTGGTCTCAACTGAGAAGTAGAAATAAGTGTACCCAACCCATTTAAACATGGTGAAACAAACTCTGAAGAAGTCTATACTGGCTCGGTCATCATCCAGGATAATAAGGACCGTGGCAAGTGCTTCTCCTGGGCACCCGACAACAAGTGGTCTACAGGAACCAGGACCCGCTGCTGAGCAACCAGGGTGTCGGCCTGTAGGGCAACTGGAAGCAAAACAACTACAGAAGTGGCAGAAATTTTCAATGCCACAGAACCGAACTGTCATGAACTGCTATTATAGCCTAATTCAGGCAGAGTTTTGGAGCACAATATTCCTGACCTCACGATTGTGTTAAAAAACAAAGTATGGATTGTCGATGTTGCAATCCCAGGTGACAGCAGGATTGAAGAGAAACAACTGGAAAAACTGACACGATATGAGGATTTAAAGATCGAACTGCTAAGACTCTGGCACAAGCCAGTCAAGGTGATCCCAGTGGTGAGACATGGCTTTGGGACCAAGATTTTGACAAGTTATTGGAGCAGTGGAATAAGTGACTACGAATAATGGAATGGATAATGGAACGGCCCTAGATTATGTTTTGGATAATTGCCAAGTTTTTAAACTGTGTTTTTTAAAAAAATACATTACAACTGTACCTTTGGTTTGCTCCTGATATGATAAATAAAACCATTATCATCTGCAATCCCTCCTGGCCCAGTATGATTGACTTCCAGTAGAGCCTTGGGGATTTGCTTGAGGAGCCTTCCTCTTGACACATTTCTCCCTATCGCTCTCCATTCATGCCTCTTTGAATTCCACAGCACTGTTGGTAATAGTGGCCTCCAGCTACAGCACTCAAGGGCCAGGGCTTCCCATTTCTTGGTGTCTGTGCCACAGCTTTTAAGGTTAGCTTTCTCTCTTATCATAAAGTTGCAATGCATGGATTCTGTTACATCCTGGCTCCAATATACCACTGGAATAAATCCTGCTATGAGTGAAACTTCAGCCTGTATTTTGCATTTCCAAGAAAAAGAAATCCGAATGTAACTTGAGGTGACTCAGTTATGTGGGGTCATGCTCACTGCTACTTCTGGAGAAAACACTCATCGCTGCTGCCAAAAGTGACCACATAATTCTTCAGGGCTGCATTTCCGATAGTTATTTTCTCAGTGATTTACTGATGAACAGATTGTGAAATTTGCCTGTAAGCAGAAGATTGCTTCTGTAAAACACAAACACAGGCACTACCAATCTACAAAAAAATTAAAAACAAGATTAAATACATAGAATATTCCAAATGACAACATATGGTTCTTAATTATACACCAAGGTTTAAAAATATATCACATAAAGCAGATATATGACATTTTTCACCTAGGAAAGAAGCAAAATTGCTTTGTGTGAGCATTAAAATTATTCTCTCTTCCAATAACTTTGTTAATGACTAATTAATTAAAATACCTGGGCTTTTTTATCCTGACTGAATCAGCTATCTTTAATGGAAAACTAGCTTGATGCTAGAATTCAAAAACATTGTTTTTGGGCTGCAAATAGTGGTCATTCTGACTGGGGGATTCTGGGAGTTGTAATTCAAAAGGTAACTTTTTATACATTCTCCTTGATTATAGTGATAGAAAATTGTCATTCCCAAGAAGATATCAAAACAGCTTCAATTTGTTCAGCATCACTGTATCCAAATAAGCAGCCTCCTAAAAAGAATACAATTTTATTTTATCTTCAAAACTTTCAGATGTTTCAAAATACTTTTTCTAACTTATGAAAGATAGATGTGACATAGTTGTTTTATTTTCCATGTACACATACTACATTTTGAATAAAAGGTTTGCTGAAACATGTGGATAAGAGCCTATCTCTGCTCTTTCCATGTTATTTTTGCCTCTGGTACCAAATTTTTTGTTACAGAAGTAAACACATCTAGAGTATTTTACTCACTGAACTATACCAGCACTATGTTTGAGTATCAACATGCCTTGTGCTGCAAATAGAAACCCAATGTCTGCTGGAGGGGATCCTTCAATTTCAATAAATTTAAATTAAAATAGCTATGGGGAATGGCCATGGATCAGCAATACAGCTCTTACTAACATTGCAGATGTTCCAATATGAAGATTACAAGGGCCTATCACACATTTCTTCATCTGTTTTGAAAATGCACCAGATGCCCTCTGATCTTGGAAGCTAAGCAAAGTCAGCTCTGGTTAGTACTTAGACAAGATATCACTACCAACTACCTGCAGGCTGCATTTCTGAGGAAGAAAGTGACAAAACACACCTAAGAATTCTTTGCCTAAGGAAACCCTATGAAATTTGTGGGGCCACCATAAATTGACAAGTAGCTTGAGAATGTTCTAAGATCCTTTGTGTTGGTGAAATGCCACAGCCCATCAGCAGATGGAGCTCCATGCTAGGACTTGAGCACCAGAAAGAAAAAGCAGAAATGCCTTTAATTTTGACACTGCATGTCAGGAGGGTATACCTGGGTGGGTGAGTGGGTGGAGGGGTGAGAACCTTTTCCTCCCCAAATAAGAATTCTGCCCCTCCCCATGAAATTTTAATTCAGTCTTGAAAATTCCAGCACTGCAGAGTAGGACACTGAAAATCCTTTCCATCTAGAACTCTTTAATTCGGCCTCTTTGCACACTTCTTTTCTTCAGGTGTCTAAACTGTATATCCAAAATGCCGAACAATTTTTTTAATTAGTGCAATTCTATAAATGTGAGACTTGAAGGAATATTTCATTGGGGGGCATGATTCTTATTTGAGGGGGACAATGCTATCATTTTGGCCCCCTGGAACTACATCTCTGGTTGTCTGGCTCATGTATATTTCTACCAGAGTTTTGAAAATCCTTCAACCAGCATGACCACTTATTGAAGCTGAAGTCAACCATGGTGTAGTGGAACAGGACAATGGAAGCCTACTGATTCATCTTGGGCAAATCACACTCCCAGTCAAAGGAAGGCAAGGGCAAAGCCACTCTGAACAATTTTTGTCAAAAAAATCATTTGATTGGGCCATCTTAGGATCACCATAAGTCAGAAATCACATGAAGGCACACAAGTCCAAACAATATTTCCTGGACTCTATTTGTTCATAGTAATTAGGACAGGGATGGAAATCCTGTAGCTCTCCAGATGTTACCAGACCACATCTCCCATTATTTCCTCACAATGACTATGCTGGTTAGGATAGCTGAGAGTTGCAATCCTAAGACACCCAGATGGTTGCATGATTCCCACCCATGAACTGTAACACTGAAGTCCTTATCTGTACAGAGGGACGTACGCATGTTCATCACCAGTGAGATAGTAACAACCAAGAAAAGCATGCCCGCAGGTCCTTTGTGACATCTCAGAAGGTGCAGGGGCACAGCTCTTACAACAGTGTTTCTCAACCTTCTTAATGGCGTAACCCCTTAATAGAGTTCCTCATGTTGTGGTGACCCCCAACCATAAAATTATTTTTGTTGCTACTTCATAACTGTGATTTTGCTGCTGTTATGAATCATAATGTAATATCTGATATAAAGGATGTATTTCATTCACTGGACCAAATTTGGTGGGGGGTAGGTGGTTGATTTTGTCATTTGGGAGTTGTAGTTGCTGTTAACCTACAATCAAAGAGCATTCTGAATTCCACCAATGATGGAATTGAATCAAACTTGACACACAGATCTCCCTCGAGCAGCAGAAAATACTGAAAGGGTTTAATGGGCATTGACCTTGAGTTTTGGAGTTGTAGTTCACCTATATCCAGAGAGTACTGTGGATTCAAACAATGATAGATCTGGACCAAACTTGGCATGAATCCTCAATATGCCCAAATGTGATCACTGATGGAGTTTGGGGAAAACAGACATTTGGGAGTTGTAGTAACTGGGATTTATAGTTCACCTACAACCAAATATCATTCTGAACCCCACCAATGAGACCATTGGGCCAAATTTCCCACAGAGAATCCCCGTGACCAACAGAAAATACTGTGTTTTCTTATGGTCTTTGGTGACCCCTCTGACCGCCCGCTCCCCGTGACCC